GACACAGAACTTGGCTGGAGATTGTGGCTAGAGATCCTGGCAAGGCTGCTGATCAACTGAACGCTGTCTCCGTGTCATTCCTTCTTCGCCAACTCTGTCCGCACCTTTGGGGACCCCTGGACCTGCTGGGGTTGGACCCCGGCAAAGAAGCTTCATGAATATTGCTGCCACTGATGATAATGGTCATATCCCTTCATCTAGTCATGATCCTTTTAGAAATCTATCCTAGAGAAATAATCACAAACTTGGACAAGATTTATTTTCAAAGTTGTTTACTACAGTCCTATTTAAAAATTTAAAACTTCAAAGCAATCTATATATCAAAATAAAAGAATTTAAAAAATACATTATGATACTAGCATACAATGGAATATTAGGTAGCCATTTAAAAGTCACATTTAATATTAAGAGAAACTGCTCAGAATATGTTGAGTAAAAAAAAACACAAAGCAGGCTATGAACATTAATACATTATTTTTAAAAGAAAAAAAGGCCTATATGGACATATGTACACTTTGGTGATAGGACCAAGTGCTTTTTAATTTCTCTGGCTCTTCCCATTTTTTTTCAATATTCTCTACAATAAGCAATATTCTCTACAATGTTACTTTTAGAATAACATTTATTGAACATTTACTATGTGCTAGGCACTGTTCTAAATGTTTTATGTGCATGAACACATTTAATCAATTACAGAGAAGTTAAGTTACTTACCCAAAGTCACATAATAAGCCAATATTTGAATCCATGCAAGCTGACTCTGAGTCAGCTCTCTTATTGCTTGTGGCAGAATTGCATTTATACTCAAAGAATAACTTCAAGATTTAGCATACAGAATATATAAAGAACTCTTTGACAAATCAACAACAAAAGACAAAAAAACAAAAACAAACCAAACCCCCCAAAAGCAAAAAATATCTCAATTAGAAAATGGGCAAAGCATCTGAATAGACATTTCTCCAAAAAAGATATCCAAGTGGTCAATAGCATATGATAAGATGCTTGACACCATTAGTCAAGGGAAATGTGTATCAAGAGCATAATGAGATAACAATTCACACCCACTAGAATGACCAGAATAAAAAATGGAGTAAGTGTTGGCAAGGACAGAGAAATCGGACACTCATACATTGAGTGGGAATTTAAGATGGTTCAGCTGCTTTGGAAAACAGTTTGGCAGTTTCTCAAAAGGTTTAATACAGAGTTACTGTATGACTTGGCAATTCTACTTCTAGGTATAAACCCAAGAGAAATGAAAACATATGTCCACACAAAAACTTGTACATAAATGTTCATAGCAGCCTAATTTATGACAGCCAAACAGTGGAAACAACCCAAATGGCCAGAAACTGATTAATGGATAAACAAAATGTGATATATACACATAATGGAATATTATCTGTAAATATAAAAGCCTAATATGCAAATTGTCCCTGTAGACATTCAACCGGGAGACTGATCACTCGCTATGACGTGCACTGACCACCAGGGGGCAATGTGGAACAAAGGAAGGCCCTGATCAGCCCTGATCGCTGGCCAGGCCTAGGGACCCTACGGGTGCACAAATTTCGTGCATTGGGCCTCTAGTTCATTAATAAAAATAAATGAAGTACAGATACATGCTACGACATGGATGAATCTTGAAAACATGCTATGTGAGTGAAAGAAACTAGCACAGAAAGCCACAATATTGTATGATTACATTTATATGATGTGCCCAGAATAGTCAAATCAATAAAAACAGAAAGTAGATTAGTGGTTGCCAGGGACTGGCAGTGAGGTAGAACAGAGGGTGACTGCTGAAGGGGTACGGGGCTTCTTTATGGAGTGATGAAAATGTTCTAGAATTAGATAGTGATGATGTTGCCCAACATGGTGAATATGCTAAAACCACTGTATACTTAAAATGGTCAACTTTTCATTATGTGAATTTTATCTTAATTTTTAAAAAGAACAATATATCTTTAGTAAAAACTCAGAGGAGTTGTTACAACCACAAAGACTTTCTACTTTCTCTTATGCTTAAGTATCAACTTGAAAATGTCAAATTACTGTGATTCATCTATAAGTCTGAAGAAGATTGAGTTAATATCCATAGAGCACTTATACCAGTGACTGACACAATAGCTCTCAATAACTGTTAGCTATTAGTAGTAGTATTGTATTTGGAGTCTAACCAGGATGGGGAAAAAATTACATCCTATTTCTCTCCAAATTATTGTCTTCAATGAGTGGAAGATTTATTTGACTACAATCAAGAAGGAAAAAGCACAAGCTGATTTTTATGTGGCTGCCACTGGTCTAGCATTTAATTTTAAAAATACAGTAAAAACATTTCGGTCTGTCATGGGAATACAAGGAGACTCTAGATCAGCCGTGGGCAAACTACGGCCCGCAGGCCGGATCCGGCCCGTTCGGCTGTTCTATCCGGCCTGCGGAGCCGAAAGAGCGGAGAGTTCTCTTGCTCTCCCCTCCACTCCTTCACCAGCAGCAGTGTTAACATGTATTAGTTCACACAAACACTCCATCCATGCTTTTGTTCCGGCCCTCTGGTCCAGTTTAAGAACCCATTGTGGCCCTCGAGTCAAAAAGTTTGCCCACCCCTGCTCTGGACACTAAAAACCAAATAATTCTATGAGATCTACTAGAAGGTTAACATGAAAGAAGCTTTGAGAAGACGGGTACCTTCTTAAACTGTCTCAGTTAGTAGATATTCATAGGCCACCTCACAGCAATACTTAAAACGCTGAATTTCTAGACTACCAAACCTGCCCATATTTAAATATAAGTTAAACACACATTCTGAAGCCAGACAATGTTGTGGACTCCTTTAGACTAGAAACTATATCCTTCTCTTATATTAAGTATTCTGAGAGGTAACAATAATTGTGCTGACTATAAGGCAAACCAATCAAAACATTACAAGTTTTTAGGGAAGAAGAGGGAGCTGGCAAAATCTAATTGCTTAAGAGAAAAAGAAAATAGGTATACATATTACCTGCAATGGAGGTCAGGCAGCTGATAAGGCAGAGAGATAAAATTTCAACCAAGACTGAGCACTATAAATAGTGCCTGAAGCCAAACATAAAAGGACACATTCTACGCAAGTCAAAAGTAGGAGCAACTATTAGATTACTATTGGTCATTTTCAGTCATGTGGGAACAGAAATAATAGCAGATTAACAAATATTAAGTGTTTGCCACATGCTTGAACAAAAACATTTTATACTAGAGGCCTGGTGCATGGATTCCTGCACCGGTGGGGTCCCTCAGTATGGCCTGTGAGGACTGGGCCAAAACCAGCTCTCAGACATCCCCCAAGGGGTCCCAGATTGTGCGAGGGCGGTTCTCAAGTGACGCACCCCAGAATCAGGCTCCCTCCTCTCTGGTTCTGGGTGTGTCATCGGAGAACCACAGCTGCAAGTCACTGCAGCTCAGCAGCTCCTGCGTTGAGCATCTACCCTCTGGTGGTCATTGTGTGTCATAGCTATATGTCGGACAGGCAAACAGTCAGACGGTCGCTTAGGCTTTTATATATATAGACTAGAGGCCCAGTGCACAAAAATTTGTGCACTTGGAGGGAGGGGAAGGGTCCCTCAGCCCAGCCTGTGCCCTCTCGCAGTCTGGGACCCCTCGGGAGATAACGAACTGCTGGCTTAGGCCTGCTCCCAGGTGGCAGAGGGCAGGCCCAATCTCTAGGTGCAGCTCCTGGTCTGGCTCACATCCAATTGGGGCGT